CCCTTTGTCCAACATAACTATAGAAGTGATACAGGCACATGTAAGTGCTATGAACTCACCTACGTGTCGCAGTGAGAAAGCAGTGACGTAATCTCCGGGCTCATGTGACCCACGGCCTTGGCTGCCTCCAGGATAGCTCTCCGGTACATCCCTTTCTTCTTCCGGTTGAAGCGGGACCTGAAGAGCTCTCTGAAGGGCGACAGTTTGGCAACAGAAAGCTGGGAGGTTGTGGGTGAACCGAACCACGCCACCTTGGCTTGGGGCCACTGGGCCTCGCAACTGGCTGTCTCCTGCTTGCGAGTGCCGCTGATGCTCAGGACGCGTGCGGGCCACCAGGGGAAGCCGTGGATTTTCCCCCACACGATGTCACCCACCGCTATGGCGTGACCTTCTTCTGTCACACACTTTGTCATGCTGCGGGTGTGAAGCCGCACTGTGAGAGGCGGCACCGTCTTGCAGTCGTCCCGTGAAGGTACAGAAGATGAGGTTACAGAGAGGTCTTCACCAGGCGCCAGATCGCACAGCTCTGGTGAGGTGCCGTCCGAGCTGAAGGACTTTGACTCGTCCAGGCTGTCGCTACTGCACACCGACAAACTAGAAGAATCCGCTTTACGCTTACGGAAGTTAATGAGAAGGGTGAGGTCGCTGTGGCCGCGATCCGCCTCCTCACCTGAACTCCCTGACCACAATTCCAGAGAGTTCTTGCCTTCTCCTGAGTCTTCAGAGTGTGGGAGGCACGGCCCGGGCCCCCTAGGGCTCCGTCTCCTGGTGCCTCCAACAAGTTCCGCATCATACTCGACCACGCTCTCCTCAGTGTCCCTCTGAGGGGGTCTCAAGCGGATCTTTGGAGAAGGTGTGTCCTGACCTACATTTGCAAAAGGTCTTGTTAGTTTGAGTTTGGGAATGGACACAGTGAGGCCAGACCTTGTGGCATCTAGAATGTGCCGCTGTTCCTTGGTGGCATCAGAAGTTGCCTTGTCGTTTTCCTCCACGCCATTCTGCACCAGCTGTTTGGGGCAGAATGGTTTGACTGAACCGTGGACTCGCGCCGGGATCTTCATAACCTCCCCCTTGCCCTGTGGAGTGCTGTAGGAGATCTTTATGACGGGACTGTGTGGAATAACATCAGTTCCAGGGTACTTCTCCCCATCAGCCTCGCACCTTTTGTCCTTTCTGAGACGCTTACTATCAAGGCTGGTGCCATTTTCCCGTCTTTTAGTGTCCTTGGCTGTGACTGTGTCCTCTTTTCTCGACAACTTATTAGGAGTATCCTTGTCGTAGCTGTCATCGTCACTTTGTAGTGAATTTTCTTTTCTAGAGGTCTTGGTGTTGCTCATGCCATCTTTGCTGTCCTCGTCACTATTTAGCGTGTTCTTGCACTTTTCACACAGTATCTGCCGAGGCCGCAGACGGATAGTACTTATGGTCATACGGCCGGGCTCTCGCGTTCGCCTCTTCTTTCTCTTGATTGGTCGTGGAGGGGGTTGAGGTACCCATTGGCTGTAGGTGTGGCGCACCCATAAGGGCTGGGGGAAGGGGGCTCCTTCAAAATAAGGAGGATAAGGAGTCTGTCCAGCTGGCACTGGTGTGGGAATGGGGCAGGGTAGAGGAGGTGTAGGTATGCTGCTTTCAGGGAGAGTGTTTTCATCCTTTGGTCTGTGTGAAACCTGGCTGGGAGATTTGGAAACCGAGTCCTCGCTCAGAACTTCTTGGATTTCAGAAGCAGGTTTAGATTGTTGGCAGTCCCCGAGTTTTGTTGTGAAATCTGGTAGACAAAATAGCCCGGTCCTAAAATAAACGAGAGAAAAAAGAAACAGTGTATAAATAGCTGTGGATCTTGTTAAGCTTTATACAGCAAAGATGATACAGTCATGCTAAACCCTGAGAATGTTTACTTCAACAATCCCCTCCATTAGAACAATATGCCTCAACATGTGACACAACCTGAGGCAAGTAGGACAGCACTGAAACAATAAAAGAACAGCCAAAACTGTTCACATAGTCGAAAAAAAATAACATAACTAGTTTTGGTTTTACTTTGACGCGAGACATTGATGTCACTCTCCCTGTCACCTGGGTGCTGAAGGTTCTTAACATGTGGGGGGTGGGGTTTGTTGTGCAAGCAGACAGACAGTTATCTGTGCCTCAGCCTCAGGCCACAGAAGCAACAGTGCTGCTGAATTTTCCCTAAGTGACTTTAATGTGATTTTTGCATGTGTGTGTGCTTTTTTTAAAAACACACTGGGCTCAGCAAACATGTCCAGTGAGGTCCTAACTGCCAAGAAAGTCTTTGAGAGGTGGCTGGCAAGCAACAGTAACATAGCTGTGCTGCCTTAGTCAGGAGACAACAGACAAAGAGACTACAGGATGCCCGAGACCACCCCCTCCTCCCCAACATCTGACTGAACAAAAACAATCCCATGAATCACTCGGGATTCAGAGAGGTAGGGAAGGAGCCAGGAGATTTCAGTTTGTTTTTGCATCCGTGTCTACTTGGGGCTTATGTGCGGCAAGATTATTAATTAGTGCACATTTGGGGAGCCTGCTTTCCTCCCCAAGAGAAGTAGTTGGCAGGCATCTCCAAATAATAGTCTCCTGGTGAGGCTCCTCTTAGCTTTAGGCTCCCATAACAAAATATGCGCCCCTATAGCTGTTGAATATCACTCTTTACTCTGATTGACGCAGCACAAACAAGGCTGTATGTAGTAGGGAACACACAGTAATAGTTAAGCGCAGTACAAGGACGCAGAATATGGCCAGGCATGATTCACCACACTGTTGTCTTTTCATGCTGTGGTGGAGATCTGTCAGAATGATAGGGCTAGACAATAAGATTAAAAAAAAAAAAAAATGCAACAATCTGTTTTCATCGGACAATGACAGGAAGTGTATTGCCATGAGCTGAAAAGGAGGAATTAGTCAAATTTTGTCAGTGACAAGGCCTAAAATATAGGCCTATTTTAAGTTATTCCAAGGCCGACCTTTTCCCATTTGGGTGGGTTATTTTCAGTACAGCATGAGCTCTTGCATGAAAAACCATCTAAGCATACTAAGGGGAAAAGCTGGTCAGGTTCTGATTCTGCTCGTCTATAAATAGCCTAAAGCCAGTGGCTTTTAAGGTGCACAGCACCAGGAGGAACACAAGGCTTATACATGTGACACACAACAAGAGGGCCTGATAAGACATGACACTGGTACATGTCAAATTATACTTGCATGGTTCTCTTTTGAACAGACTGTGCTTTCTATCAATAGCCCCATTTTTTTGTTTTGCTTTGTCAGAGGCTAAAATGGACACAGATAAGACCAAAGCTTGATTTACTGAAAATGAGACACAGCTGTGATCATTCAAATGTATTTTAATAATTTTCTATTGTTTCTGCTGGTCAGAAGTGACAGGTTATAATGTTGCTGCCTTTGAATAAATTTCAGCTTACTGTACTCAGACATTTGCCTACAAAACTAGTGCACATTCACATTTCTGTACAATTGCATGATAATAAAACTGACACAATAAATAGTGTTTAGCTAAGGCCTGGCTATTTTACTGGATTCGTTTTAGCTGCTCTTCCCTTGATTAGGCTAACAATAAGCTATAGCTGAACCCACTGACAGTAGATATTTTTCAACAGAAGTCACTAACAGTCTCTACAGGCTGGGCTAATGCCTTTATATAGTTTTCCTCCATCGTAAAATCGAGTATTTCGCCGTCTTATTATAGGCAAAAATGACATCACTTTAACATTAGCCGGGAAGCTAGCAGATAGCCACCTTGTCAGCTACAATAACCTGCAAGCCTTTTGTATAAAGGCCTAGGTCGCTAATAGTTAGCTTTGACTTAGCATCCAAGGTAAATTAGCCGTTAGCAGTATTTAGCAAATAATTTTTAGACGATAATATATAAAAGAAGTTTAGAAAAAATAGTGCTCACTTTTTGTTGCAATCGAGTAAAATCCCCGTGTAGATCCTTTCTCGATAGGTCAGCGTCACCACCAGTGTATCGTTAACTATTTGATCGATAGTGACAGGTACCCGAGAGCCGGCCCGCAGCTCCTCGGCCACAGCCTCCATGTTTCCCGGGGTGAGTTGTCCGGCTCGGCGGTGCTCGATCCCGGCCAAGGGAGCCACGGTCGCGTCGGCCAAAGATCCGTCTCCCCTTCGCTATTGGAGCAGGAGGCTACACCAGGGCATAAAATGACGCCATCACCCCCACCAAGTCAATTACAACAGTACTGCCACCGCTGACATCACGCTCTCTGTGCTACAGGAGCAGAAAATCTCTCAAGACAAGGCCTACCCTTTCTCTGTCTCACTTTGTACTGCTTGATGCCATTCATTACCACGGCACTTTTCGCTTTTTTTCTTCTTCTTTTAAACTCAGCGGCAGATTTATGGCGTCCGTCTTCAAAACAAATACCACAATTACACATGAAAACTGAAAACGCATACAAGCATTTTAAGATAATATGTAATCAAAAATTAAAACTGACGATGACAAAAATGGCAATTAAATAATAATCACAAGATGCAGAGCCAGCTGACAACGATTATATCTAATGTCATACACGCACACAAATAAATAAAACATTTAATGTGCTATTTGACAAAAACCTGCCACTTTACTTTAAATGTATCTTGTTGTAAATTACATTAATAAGGATATTATTATCTATTTCGACCTAAAAACGTCCAGTTCCCCTTTAAAATGATCTATTTTAAGACTGGCTTAATTTACTCTGCATGTAGGTAATACATGCCTGGTGAGCCAATAACGCTTTTAACAACTGAAAAGCTTATTTTGACACAATAAAGTATTTCTTTTATGTAAGTTAAAGTTAACATGATTACTTTGCTTAGTGGAGAGAGCATCTTTAAGAAGTTAAAAGAAAAATAGAAACACACCAGCTGTGAACTGGAAACCTTCTAAACACTCCCTTGCCAAGTTAGGATTTGAAATGTTTACCTTATAGACTTGTGCAACACAATATGATTCAAAAGGATTTAGTCGCTTTAGTGATTTATTTCCATATCAATTGAATATCACAAAAACTCAAACAGCAGGTGTGTAGTCTCTGTCACTTATCAAGGAAACCAGGCCAGGTGTCCCCAGTAATGATCATGAAAGTTTTTTCAAGATCTCGTCCTTGAGTTCTCTTCCTCTCCAGGAGCCGCATCTGTAACTTCCTCATCTGTCAGTCAGAAAAGTGGAGTTTAGATCAATAATCTATATTAACCTATATAATGAGTTGCACAATGAATGGGGAATTATAGGTCAGACCTCTTCCACATCCTCCATCGCTGCTGCCATCTCCTCGCTTGCTGTGCCCCTGGGATTCCTGCACCTCTCCTGTATCTTCTCGGCACGGGCACAAATCTGCCGTTCCAGGTCCCGGGCCGATCTTTAGGGCCATGCAGTTCAAAGGTCAAAATCTATATATACAACACTATACAGGTGTTTAAGTATTATAGCCTTTACAGATATAACCCAAAGGGTTACTTTCTCTGTTTCCTTGTATCAGTAAAAATAAAATAAGAAAAGTGGCACTGTCTTATCTGGTTTATCTGTTTTTGCAAAGACATAACATTGTTTTAAAGGAACAAAGAAATCTGCTTATGTTCTATAATGTGTGCAGTCTTTCTTTGTCCACTAGGTGTCTCTAGCTTTACATCTTTAGTAGCAGAACTCACATCTGCTTAACCATGCAAAATGCCATTTAGTGGGTACTTGTGGAGTTCTCGTTAGGCTCATTGATGAGATGATTATAAGTTTAAACCACAAGGACAAGTACTCTTCACAGAGACAAATGCAGTTACTGTTAAAGCTTAGAGGTATACTGGCAGAACAGCAGACCCAGAGCTTGTCATTACCTGTCCCCTTCACACCTGCCAGATGTCTGAGAAGTACCACTGCTGTCCTCAAAACCAGGTTTTGAATCTACTTCTGCTTCCTGAAACAGGGTAAGGAAGTACTTGTTACATTTACCTGTGAAGCGATACAACTCTTGCAATGCATCCTAAAAAGATGTAGCCTGTGGCTGCACTGTGTTCAGTTAAAAAAAAGAAAAAATACTTTTTTCCTTTACAATAAATTTTCCCTTATGTCGGGCTGATCCCATGCAAACATAATGGGCACCCTTTCTCCACTATATATATATGTATGAAAATGGAGCTGAAAGTCAAATGATAGATTTATAATGTGTCTCCCTGTGTATATCAGCACTGATGGCTCCTCCAGCATGCTCCATTACCGCCAGTGGAAACTGTTGCTGTCTCATCACCACCATGGTGGTGCTACTGTCTGAAAACCCATTCACTCACATCAAAATGATTCATTTAATGGCAATATATCTATGCCTCGCTCCTTTAACCAGTGTGTCAGAGGTGGTGCTCTACTGCCCTCTGGTGGTGGGCAGGATGACAGCTGAAAACCCAAGCACACACAAACCTCACGCCTTTTTTGTCTTTCATGCTTCTTCTCTTTGTGCTCAGACTTTTTCTTGTCTTGTGAGATTCTGGCTTGTGTGCAGCACTTCTGAAGAGACACTTGGCTTCTACAGGAGAGTTAGATAACAATACACTCTGTAACAGATCAGAGACAAAAAAAACAAAGCAACTCTTGTTCTCCAGGCCGAAATCTGCTCACTTTCTCTTCTGCTCGAGAATAGCCTTCTTCTCGTTCAACTCCTTCATTGCAGCCTGCTTCCTTTCCTCTGGCCTCTTCCAAGAAGGCGAGTCAAAAAGGGGGAGCTGGGGAATCATGCTGGCCTTGGTGGCTGTCTTTTTTCTGAAGAATAAATTCAAACAAACAGTTTCATATTTATGGCTCGTCTGAGCTCTGGGCTCTCAGCTTAGATTTTTATCACCTGGTTTCCTCCACAGAAAATGATATTAAAAAGTGTTTTTGCCATAATTTTACAAAGCACACGGCCACAAACTCTGCCCTCCACTCCACGGAGGGTCAAGGAGTAAAATAATGTTATAATGGTAACTGAGATTACCATTACCAAGTCATTATTAAAGATGCTCTCAGTTTTACAGTAGTTGCTCCCTTAAAGCCTCAACTTCACATTAGTTTTCCAGTTCAACTGTTTCCAAAGTCTATGAATAATCTTGTTAAAAAAACTCAGTATTGACCATAATAATTCAGATTTAAATTTTACCTTTGATAATTGAGTAGTTGAAAATGACTTGGCCCCAACAGATATTTGCTATCTGGGTATATTATACAGAAACAAAGGTACAATTACTTAGATGCGTGAAGTTTTAAAATCTCAATGAAAATATTTAGCAAATGCATGTCCAATGCATATGTTTCATCCCTCTTATGAAACAACAGTGTGACATTTTGCATGTGTTTAGTTTCTAGTGTATGGAGTTGGAGGGAAATATCAATACTCCTGTCTTATTTGACAATTAAATTGAACCCTGGTATGTTTTATTAAACTGTTTAAGTGGTAGATGTTCATTTTAAACATGGCCAAATTTTTCAAATAATGAGGTCAGGGCATATGTAATTCATTCCTGTGAACCAGACTGTTCTGAACAATCTGTTTCAGGACGTTTTTCTACTCTGATGTCATTGAGTGGGCATGTTTTTGGGGAGCAGCCAATTAGAAGAAAAGGGAGGGAGAAGAGAGTTAAAAAAGTTTTGTTTTCAGAGGATAAACTAAGATAAAGAAGGATTACTTTGAGTTGCGAATGATAAAAGGCTACTTGAGTTCAGTCTGAGAATAAACATAGAAAGAGAAATGTGCCTAATGGATTCATTACATGGATACATGGATGAACACATCAGCAAGTTAACATCAGGAGTAGTATAAAGACTGGAAACAGCTAAGTTAGCAATGTCCTGCACTAATACATGGAGCAGCAGCACCAAAGTCCACTAGTTATCATGTTATATCTGTTTAAAAACTATAGCGTAATGAGACAATAAGCTATTTTACAAGCCGGTTGTATGTGACTATTATCGTGCAACCAGAGAAGAATGCAGAAGGTTATAGGGCTTAAGAGCCAAGAGAGACATCTCTGAAACCTATCCCAGTTTTCAAGAGGCACGGTGCTCCCTGGACAGAGTATATGACTTCTACAGAACTAATCCAAGAGATATTTAAGAGTAAATAACCAGAAAATGTGAATTTCTATCAATTAGTTCATGAGCTACTTGTGGAAGGCCGAGATTTAAACCTTTGGAGAGAACCATTGTGATTCCGTCTGTTTCTTGCTCTTTGTTAGAAGAAACTCTCTGTTGGCTCTAGCCTCAGACCCTAGACCTTCTCCGCTAACTCTTTGAAAATAAATAAATAAGCACATACAATGCACCCAGAAAGATTTACAGCCTTGTTCAAAATGTTTTCATGTTACAGCCTTATTCCAAATTTAATTTAATTCATTTTCCACCTCAACATTCTACATACAATACTCCATAATGACAAAGTGAAAAACATTTTCTTCAAATTCTTGCGAATGTATTAAAAATAAAACACACGCACAAATATAACATGCACATAAGTATTCACAGGCTTTGCCATGACAGTCAACATCGAGCTCAGGTGCCCCCCGTTTACACTGTTCATCTGTCAGATGCTTCTACAGCTGGAGTCCACCTGTGGTAAATTCAGTTGTTTAGACATGATTTGGAAAGGCACACACCTGTCTGTGCAAGATCCCATAACTGACAGTGCATGTCAAAGCACAAACCAAGCCATAACCAGTACCAAGGAACTGTCTATAGGCCAAGACGGGATTGTATTGAGGTACAGATGTGGGGAAGGGTCCATAAAAATGTGTGCAGCATTGAAGGTTCCAGTGAGAATAGTTGCCTACATCATCTGTAAATGGAAGGTTTGGAACCACCAGGACTCTTCCTAGAGCTGGCCACCTGGCCACTCTGAGCTATCAGGGTAGAAGAGCCTTAGTCAGGGAGGCTACTCTGACAAAGCTCCAGTATTGCTCTGTGGAGAGAGGAGAATCATGCTAGAGTGGCCAGACAGAAGCCACTCCTCAGTAAAAGGCACATGACAGCCCACTTCTAGTTTGCTGAAAGGCACATGAAGGACTCTCAGACCAAGAGAAACAAAACAACAACTGGTACTGAACTCTTTGGCCTCAATGTCAAACATGATTTCTAGAGGAAACCAGGCAGTGATCATCAACTGGCCAATACCATCCCTACAGTGACGTGTGGTCGTGGCAGCATCAAAATATGGGAGACTAGTCAGGGTCAAGGGAAAGATGAATGCAGTAATCTACAGAGACATCCTTGAAGACAACCTGGGGGCGAAGGTTCATCTTCCATGAGGACAACGAGCCAAGATAACAGAGCCACTTCAGGACCACTCCTTAAGTGCCTTTGAGTGGCCAAGCCACAGACCAAACTCAAACCTGATTGAAGAAAGAAAGTGTACTTTATTGATCCCCGTGGGGAAATTCCTCTCTGCATTTAACCCATTCACTCAGTGAAGCAGTGGGCAGCCATTGGGCGCCCGGGGAGCAGTGTGTAGGGACGGTACCTTGCTCAGGGGTACCTCAGGGTAGCTGTTCAGGGGAATCGAACCCCCGACCTTCCGCTCATGGGGCCACCACTCTACCTACTGAGCTATTCCTGCCCAAACATCTGCCTGAACTGCCTGAACATCTTTCTAGCGATCTGAAAATGACTGTGCACTGATGCTCCCCATCCAACCTGATCCACTCTGATAGAGCCTGAGAGAGTGCAAAGAATAATGGGGGAAACTTCCCAAAAATAGGTGTACCAAGCTTTCAGCCTCATACTCAAAAAGACTTGAGGATGTAATCGCTACAAAAGGTGCTTCAACAAAGTTTTGAGAAAAGGCTGGTAATACTTATGTACATTTTCATTTCTTTATTTTAAATAAATTTGCAAGAATTTCAAGCACATTTTTTTCTCTGTGTCATTATGGGGCATTTTTTCCCACCCAAACATCTTTTCTTACCTCCTGCCAATATCACGTTGTGGTATTGAGCCCAGCTCAGCTCTGTCCAGCAGGATCAACTGATGCTTGAGTTCCTTGAACCTCTGCAGCTCCTCCACATCCCCTGATTCTTCCTGCTCTTCCATACCCCTCAGCTCTAACAGCTGGAGTTTCTCCACTGCTGGCAACTCTAGGAATGAAACAACAATGGCAGCTACTAGTGCGGTGTGGGGGCAACATTTGATGCTGTCTGCAGCTGCAGTGGCTGGCAGGAGGCATTTAAGAAGTTAATTCAAACAGGTAAATCCACTCCTTTAAATATCTGTGTGGAATGTGGAGGAGAATGTAACCAACAATTTTTTACTCATTTTATAGTAAAGTAACTTCTAACAAGAATAAATGTTCAGTTTTGACACAGCTAAAGGTGGATAACAATACAACGCGGAAATTCAAACCTACACTCCTTCTCTTGGCCAATTAAATGAGAAGAGATTTACATCTGAAACTCGGGACCCTATCTTTGTTAATAACCTTGTAAGCAGGGAGATAAATAATTTGATTGAGGGTTCTGTCTCTGCTTATTGTGCAGTAGCAGCAGCCTCTCCTGTTTCAGCCTTCTCACAGTGATTATCTCCAGACAGGGCTTAGTGACAGAGAGCTCCTGATTAGAGCCAACAGGTTATCGATCATTTCCATCGGGCTAAAAATATTACAGAGCTGGAACAGTGAAAAGGGAGGAGGCACATGATGGTGGTGGTGGGGAGTCGGCTGAGCTGCACGCGCCGTCTCCAAGGGAACAGGAGTCACACTAGAGAAGCGGTACCAGGGCAAGGAGCTATTTTTGTGAGCGCACTGTCCTGCCTTTGACAAAAAGAGCAGATGGCTAGGATGCACGTGCATGCTCCTTGTGTTGTTCAAAGGTAAAGCGCCTTTGACTCACCTGGAGGGGTCTTCCTTGCGCTGACTGGCCGGTGAGCCAGAGCACTTCTCAGGTACTGGAGGATGGACTGGAGTCCCTGCTGCACAATCTCTTGTGGAGGAAAGTGGATTGGGCAGTCCCTTAGGTTCAGACCTTTGAGGGTAATCACATTTCCTGCAAAAAGGCAAATAATGACTCATTCATAAAGACGTACACTGAATAATGAAGAGGCTTACATTACTCATAATGTACCAGCTACCTGTTAAAAGAGATCCATTATGTGTGTCTTTATTTTCTGTCATGTCCATGATTTTTTATGTTCATTTAAATACTTATTCTTTGAGTGTAAGTGAACGATGACACCCCCCACCCCAAAAAAACCTGTTTATTTAGGACAAATGATCAACAAAGAGCTGTTCAGTGACCCAGTGTAAAATAAATAATGATTACTTTGAACTGTGAATCATGCAAAACGACACTAGTGGAGTCCAAGGAATTAAACTGTGTAGCTTTAAACAAGCAAAACAGGTCCCCTTTAAAATTCTGTAGTTACTGCATACATGTAATTCACATGTCAATATGTATAACTTTCTTTCTGAAAATTACAACTTTTTTGATAAGGAGGGACCACTCACCCAGTTCAAGTGGAAGTTCAGAGATAGGATTCCCTTCTAAGAGCAGTGTTTTCAAGCACCTACATCCATAAAAAGACAGATTATGAAATGTTTGAAGGGGGTTAGGCTATCGTCAGAAAGCATCTTTGCTCTTAAACTTGAATACACGGACAGGAGAAAACTATACAGGCCACTCTAAAGTCATATTGTATAAATATCCTGAAATGCTTTTTAGGGCCTGGGAATCTCATTTTGCTACATTTAGATTTACAACTGTAGAACTTGTGTGCTTATCATAAAGTGTTCGACTTATGTTATAAGTAGTATAGCTTTGAAAATGTTAACAGTGATCAGAAAATGTTCTAAAACATGACATTCTTATAGTCCCATAGAGGCCTATGCCTTGGTTTAAGAGTAAATTGTAAGATCAAAGTTGTCCAGATAAGTTCAAATGAACACGTGCACATTAGACTGGTCTATAATTTATTTATTTATTTTTTTTAAAATGTTGCATACAGTACCTGTGCAAGCCAATTTCAGGTGGGAGTGACTCAATTAGGTTTTTCCTGAGATCTAACCACAGTAGGTTGGGCAAGCTGATAAACACGGAGCCTGGAATACTGCATATCTGGTTGCCTTCAAGACTCAAATACTGAAGATGACAGAGGGAGCAGTTAGTAATGGTGCAGTGGTAGAAACGTTTTTTCTTCTGCTTGAAAGCCACTGGAGCATACATCATGTAGCTGGTGTGTGTTTAGAGTCCACACTGACCTTTAGCTTGCTATTTCTCAAAGGACTGTCTGGAACATGTTTCAGCTGAGATCTGCTCAGACATAGCGTCTCTGTTGAATAACATTCAGCGGGCTCCTGTGGATCGGCATCCTCGGGAGGAGTGCGGGGGATCGGCGCTCTGACAACACTGCTCCCAAAGACAAAGCTAAGCTGCGCACCAGGAAGCTCAGCCTCCTTCGGGGAAGTCATTGCACAAAGGAGGCCGAGCCGCTTTACTGGTATACTCAAAATACACGAGTGTCTTTTGGCAGAGAAATTTCTCGTCGCTTGCCTGTAAAAGACAAAACCGTCCAAGTTTTAAATAAATGAAGAGACGTCGTCTAACTTGGGTACAAGCTTAACTAACTAACTAACTAACTAACAACATTAGCCCACCATTATGTAACTGTTCAATAACTGTGTTAGCTTACCTGCTATTTCAGCACTACTACCAACGTGAACATGGCTCAGTGTTATCTAAAAAAAAAAACACTTTATAGGTCGGAAAAAACTACGAAACTGAAAAATGTTATGCTAACTTTTAGACACGTCTCGCGACCTGACTCTGTAACCATAGCAACGGGGTCAACACAAGCTGGCAGCTGTCCACGTGCAAAGCAAGAACAAGGCGACTAACTTGATATTTCTTCAGTAAAATTTTTGCATGTATGTACATTTTTTAAGTTAAATGTTTATATACTTTATTATATGCAGAGAAAAAAAGAAGAGCAAATGATCTAATGTGCACACTGTGTAGATAACGTGTTAATCCCGTTCCCCAGTCAGTGAACCGACTCCACCCATCCATTTTCTAATGAGATTGTGGAATAATTCACTGAGGTTCATTTGGGCGGCAGGATAAACACGGCTTCCCTCTGTTGTGAACGCGAGCCGGGAAGCCTCCACTCTGTCCTGAGCCATCCTGGCTTTACGTCCACACACCGCTCCTAATGTATTGATTTGCACGACAGTCCGTGATAGAGAGTTACGTCGACTATACTCACTAGCCAACAACTGTCACACTACTCTCGCAAGAGTCAAGTTAGTGAGGATACTAATTAGTAGTTTCCGGTTATTGCTTTCAAAATAAAAGTCTAATGGGCAAGCGGCAAAAATCAAGTGGTATCTCATTATTAACGTATACATTAATTTTTTATTTTTATTTTTTATCGAGATTTTGTTCAGTAGGCTACTTTTGATGGCCATTGTGCCACATTTACCTACACTTGCGATCTAAATTTGCTGAGTCGAACTGTATGCATAATATTTATGTATTAATGCCACTTCAGTTTCTGTATGCAATTTAAAATCTCAAATTACAGGGATTTGACACTACCATTACTACAAAGTGATTCTGGCTAATTATAATAAACCACATAAAAGAAAAAATGGGTGTGAAAACGTGTTTATCTCAAATAAAAGTAGAAACTTAACCCCCCGAAAAGAATAAAGATAAGTGAAATGATTTAATGTACTTAGAAATCTACCTAAATGAGATAACAAATGTATATTTGTGCTTATGTTTATTTAGACTGGGAAAAAAAAATAAAAATAAAAATAACGGAAAATAATTAAACTTACTTGAAAACTAACTGAAACTAATTCCAATTTAAAAGAAAAAATAAAACACTAAATTAAAATAAAATAAGTGAGGATTATAAAACCATAAATACATCGTCTAATAATTTTGAGGCAATTGAAAAGTCCTGTTGAGCTTTTATTTTTTACAGTTAACTGACTCACTTCCGGTTAGGGCTTCTCCAACTGAGTGCCTCTCCGCGCAGTCTGTACTCTTCAAGCCCCATCAAACACGAGTCCGTCGGTCTGGCTGCGCAAGGCAACTGAACACTACGAATACCGAGTGTTTATTCCAGCCCAAACCTCCAACTTAGCAAACAGTGTTAGCTCTAAATATCATCCCTGTCCGTCGGTAAGCGCTGCACTTCGCTTTCCGCTTCCTTCTGAGGACTTCAACTCGCGCTGGTCAAATTGTCGGCAGACCAAATACGGGAGAAATAAAACGAAATAACGGACACGTCTCGGCTGAAATGCACGGCTGTTGTTACTGTCTTTTAAGGAGGAGGGTGTCCGACACAGAGCTGTAGTTTCTCTTCCAAGAAGGCGAGGAATGCAAGCTGAGCATCAATGTTTCACTGGGGCAAGTGGAAGAAGAGGATGGGAGCCAACAGTTCTTCAAAGAGACCCGTTTTTGACGAAAAGGAAGATGGTAAGTGAAGGCAAAGGTGTCACCAAATCTCTAGCAAATAGTGGCACTAACAACTTTGGAACTTATTATTGTGTATGTTTCACTTACGATGGCATTTTTTTCACGGTATCCCTCCGCTTGGCACAGCACACAGGCTCCGTTATCAAAGTTCCTGTTAGGAAATTAAACGCTGTCAAAGGAGTTTAGACGGAGTTTGGCTGCTCACGGGAACAGACAGTGTTCATGTGGGAAATTTTCAAGGCTTGAAGTCAAACTTTCTACTACAGGGGGCAGCAGCAACAATAATCATGATAATAATAAAAATAATAATGATGATTAAATGTACATTTTCATCACATGACCTGATGCTGAGTGCATATACATGGAAAGACCCCGAGCAGGTGAAATGAATCTTACCAGTACTATCAAACTATAACTTGGACTGGGCGTTTCACTCTTTTAATATTGTGGGCTATCTGTGTTTGTTGTTTTTAGCTCACAGTGTCGGCATTTTAACCTCGCTTAAATTGTATTATCGCGATATTTGGCGTGGAACTTTTAAATAATGAAATATTAATCAGATTCTTCTGAATTGTCTTTTTTTCCGTTTCATTTTCGTTTTTTTCTCTTTTTTGGGTAATTAATTTCACTCTGAATACAAGTTAAGAACAGTTACAGTTATTTAAGACATTAAGCCGTATGTCATTTCATCGCCTTTAACTTCAGCACTGGTCTAGAGTGGCATCCTTAGTGTGGAAGTTTGTCCACTATAATCATCAAAGAAAAATGTCAGACCTTAAAAAATCCCTCACTAGGATTCCAGCAATCATAATGCCCACTTGAAAAAACAAAACAAACCTACAGATTTAAACAAATGTCTTTATATTTTAGCACCAGTGTCAAAAAAAATGAAAATGCACATTCACCAAACTCGATATTAAGCTGTAAAAATCCAAATCTCAGACCAAATGTATGTGCTTTAGTATTTTACGCTGACCTGGCCCTTAACGTGCATCTATTTCCCAGCTGCATCTCTCCGTCTCTCTCCTTATACCTCCACCTTTTCCTCTTCACCGTCCATTTCAAAGGGCAGACGTTAACGTTGGAGAGGCGGGGAGAGGGAGACGCGTGTCTGTAGCTATATGCGGCGAGATCATAAAGGCAAAAGGCGAGAGCGACAGATTTGGAGAGTCCGTTGCCTCGCTAAAACCACAGTCCTCAAGGCACAAACCCCCCCCCCACTCCAAAAAAACGCAGCTCTTGCCACTGAAGCGCAGTATATACCTCCATGCTCACGCTGCGGGGAAACACTTTAATGCCTGAACGAGCTCTTTGGAAATATTGTGTGTTCAAAGACGGAGAACTAATTGCATAATCAAGACAAGATTATAGTGTCATGCGTGGAAAGTAATGTTAAGTAATGTCTTGTCAGTGTATGGGGATATAAGCCTCTTGGAAGAGAGCCCAATAAGCTCAGCACTGGATTGCTGAATCTCTGATGATGGACTGCAGGAGGGGGAAAAAAATCCACTGTTGCTGCAGAACTATTTGGCCGGAAAACTTGAGTAAATGAGGTCATTTCACTGCAGGGATATGGTCATATGCTCTGTGTGTGTATGTGTGTGTTAGTACTCCCCTTTTGCACACAAGGGTAACCCAATTAAGTCTACAGCTCTTGCCTTTAGGAAAAGTGTCCAGCTGTAGTTCAGATCACTATCAAGGGGAGTGGTTACTGGAGTGGCCCTACGGCATTCGCACTCGCAGCAGTTAATCAAAGCCAGGAGAGATGTTCTTGAGCGGGCTGTGCACGTTTGGCTTTCTTTAGCTTTTCTGTGTGATTAAAAGGAAACTTTAAGGCTGAGGTCAGAACCTCTTCAAGACTGTGTTGCTGTGTTAATGTGTGATTTGTTCATGCCGAGTGTGAAAAAAGGGGGAAAAACTAGAGATCAGCTTCGTCTTTATCCTCCCATCATCAGTGTAACGCAGGTGTCACTTAGGCTTGACCTACAAAACACCAGCAGTGGAAAAATTCAGTTGGTGGAGTATCACCGCCACCATCAACTGTGGTCTTAATCACCGGCTTTGTCACCACCGCTGTGATTATGCGTAGAAGCGTAGACCGAGGCCTGATCTTAGGTGGCAAAGATGCATTCAATGTTAATTATGCAATGTTGTCATTATGGGGATCTGCTTGAGAGCGCGCTCGCTTTTCATGCAGCAATGAAAATACTCGTCTGCTGAGCACAAAGGGAGCAGTAAGCATCGTGGGTGGAGGGCACATATGCATTAAAGAGAGACAACTGTTAATGTGAAACTGATCACCTTGAACATTTGCGGAGCGCTGATTCGGCACCGCCTTCGTGAAGCAGCTGGCTCTCTTTTTTTTTACCCCGAGCCTCGATAACAAACGGAGCAAAGGATGCGCTGCCTTCTGGATGCTGACTTAGGCTCTAGATGTCTCTTGCTGCCTGTCAGGTCTCTTAGAAACAGTATCCCTTTGGCTTCTTGGAAAACAGCATATGGCATACATTAGGCAGTAATATTAGAGCAGTTTTTGGCTCGGAAGGCTGCAAACATAATCAGGCGGTCAGGTTGATGTCGAAGCGTAGCTGCCAGAAGGGCTTTTCTGGCAGGTAGTTTGATTAGCAAAGGGAGGCTGTGGAATTGATTGAGGTGCACATCCTGCTAGTTTGCGACTCGCTCGAATGCTCTTTAACAACAGCAGAGAGTGTGAGGAAAAAATAAGAGAAGTCGATGTTTGGAGAAATGGGGATGGAGTCTGCTCCGTCAGACATTTAATCATGCATTTTATCACCATTTGAGAGCAGTCTTTCTTATTCATGAGCATGCAGAACTTGTTAAATTTGAAACTTGTCCTTGCCAACCTGCTAGGCTCGTGAAGTTGTAAAGTAAAAGTTTGACATTTTGGAAAATGGCGATAATTTGGTTTCTTGCCAACAGTTAGATGAGAAGATTGATACCGCCCTCAGCCCAGTTATCTCTGCTTGGCATAAAGCTTGGGGAATTGCTGAGCCTGCCTCAGACACGGGATTTCTCACAGATTTATATTCTGTGGAGATGTGTGTGAAAGTGTGCCATGAAAGGAGGTGCACATGCTTTTTTAAATCAACCATAAATAACTGAGCAGTTTCGTGAGCTCTCTCTTCAGTGAGTCTCTCATGCTCTGGTTGAATGCCGGCTCCACTGTAGCTGAAATGTAGCTGGTAGTCCTTATGCTCTTCATCTTTGGTAAGCTGGGCGAGGCGGTACTCCTCACCTCCTGCTGCAGGGTCTGCTTAGAGTGTCTCTCCAGCCAGCTGAACATCATCGCTATAAATAGCCCAAGACACTGGAGTCTCTCAGATCCTGTTGAATGTTTGGGACTAACTGGTTTAACAGCTACTGAACTTTCA